AAAACGGGGGACCCTCAGGAGTCCTGAGAAAAGGGTTAATGAGTAATGATCTGAAAATGAGAGGAAGCTCTGCAACAGATTAGTTCTAGAGCAAAGCACTTAATTTTCTTTGCCTTAGTTTCCCCATCTCTAACATAGGGATAATAAGAGCAATATTAATGATAATAATGGTTTGGGGTACTAGATTAGATATCATGCGTGAAGCACTTAGAAGAGTGTCTGGCATATCAAAAGCAGTTAAATAAAACAGAGATGAAGAAAACCCTAAAGAGGACTGAGTTGGGGTTGAGGGAGGGGACTATATAAACAGGAGCTTAGTTTTGAGCATGGAAAGGTTAAGAAACTAGGTAAGGTTACATGGAATTTTCAAATATAAAGACTGTAGTTTAAAGGAGGGGTAAGGGCTAGGGAATCAGTTGGTGACTCCTAAGCTTACATCTGGCATTTAAAGCTTAGACAAACTTGTGTAACTGTAAAAAGTTTCTGGGGCTTTTCTTCCTCAAATATATTTGGAAAACACTGAGTTCAAAATGAGATTCAAGTTTTCTTTGTTACTACACATCTCAGAACTATTTTACATGAATAATAAGTCTCCAAGATAGAGAGGCAGACCTCTTAGATTACCAGCATTTAGAAGACTATTGTTCCATAAAACACTGTTTGGAAATAATGAACTTCTTATATTACTGCCTGAAAAATAACCTAGATTAATTCTTGCAAACCATCAAGTCTTAAAGCCCTTAAAACTTTTAAAATTGTACAAAATCGATTGGCTACTTGTTTCATATTTTCTAAGTAGTTTTGTATCCATATAACAGAGCTGAGCAATTTTTAGGTTGAAAGCTTTGTCCCAAGAGCAAGGTAATAGTTTTCTTTTTAAAAATTTTCTACCAAAATTATCTGTGCATTGGAATCACCTCTGGAGCTTCAAGAACTACTAATGACTGTGTTTCCCCTCTAAAATTATGATTTTATTGATCTGGGTTGTGGTAAGGCCTTTAGAGATTTTAAAATATGCTCAGGTGATTCTAATATGCGGACATTTGAGGATCCATTGCTGCTAAAAGGAATCTCTGCTTCTTATCAATTATATCATATTTTTAAACTATTCCTATTTTTAATTAAGAAACATTATTTGGATTATTGAACAGGTTATTTATTCATCAAATATTTATCGAGAGCCTACTAAATGCCTAACATTTGTTACCTTATTGCAATAGCATGGTGATATCACTATTCATTTGTATCTACTTTTAGAAGGCAAGTGGATACTTAACATAATTAAATCATTAATAATTTAATTATTAATAATTACTTAAATCCAAAAACTGAGTAACTAGTAACATGATTAGTTGGTATAATCTCTAAAACCATCTAAGAGTCTTTAGCAGAGATATAAAATATTGTTAGCCACTCAATCTGTTAGAAGCAACAAGTGCCATATATAATTCTTCACACATTGGTCTTGTATGGTAGCATTGTTCATACAGAATATGCCCTTTAAGAGTCACAAAACTTCTTTGTGGGCACCAACGTGTCTTCAAGAAATGTATGACTCTATTATAGTCAATGAAATCAACAAATATTTATTGAGCACATACCAGGCACAGTTCAAGGCAGTGGAGATATACCAGTAAAATAAGAAATTCATACTCTTATAAAACTTCGATTGTATTAGAGGCAGATGTAATAACAAGAGATAGACTACATAGATAGATAGATAGATAGATAGATAGATAGATAGATAGATAGATAGTAAATAGATTGATGATTGATAGTAGATAGATAAAATGGTTTCAGAAACTGATAAATGATCTAAAGAAAAATGAGATGAGTTAAGGATTAATAGTCAGGAGGTTGGGTAGGGGCAGGGGTTGATAGTGTGGCTGGAAACTTAACAGGAGGTAAACTTTGAACCATCTAAGTGAAGGGAAGGAGGAAGGGAAGACCTGCAAGAATAGGTTGTGGGAACAGTCAGAGCAGAGGTTGGAATGGAAGCAAATATTTGATACACTTGAGAAGCAGCGGAAGACTAGTACAACAGAATGAAATGTGAAGAGAGAGCAGTAGATGAGGTCAGAGAGACAGGCAAGAGCCAGATAATAAATGCAGCGCCCCATAGGCCATAGTAGGGGTTGTTTTTGTTTTCTTTTGTTGTTGTTGTTGTTGATGTTGTTTTCTTGTTTTCTTCTAAGTATTCTTGAAAGCCTTTGGAAGCCTTGCCTGAGAAGTGACATGACCTAATTTACATTCATAGAGAGAATATTTGGCTAATCCATGAAGAGCAAATTCATATATTCAGGGCAAGGTAATAGCAGGAAGACAGTTGGAACGCTATAGCTGTGTTCCAGGCAAGAGTTGGTAATAGAGCAAAGAGACAGCTGGTAAGATGGTGAAAGTTCTACTGCAAAAGACATGTTGATGCTGTCATGAAAAAGGATTTGCTGATGAAATTTTCCTGTTGGGACACCTAACATACACCAACAGATAATCAAAACGTTACAGTCAGAAAAGTTTCAGAATTCTGGGTTAAAGCAATAATTATAGATCTTTATGTAAAAACTTGTTTCCTATGTAAAAGAGAAACCTTTCTTTATAAAGCCACTTTCTTTTTTATGGAAAAAAACTGTTCGTAGTAACTTTGGAAAGCCAACTTATCCTGGTTTTGTGTTGTTGTTGTTGTTGTTGTTTTTGCTTTTTTTTTTTTTTAAGGCTCAGGCCTTGTCTTAAAATCTCAAGGAGGCAGAATCACTGAAATGATAGCTTTCAGTAAAACTACCTGTAGGAAATTGTGATAGGCATACCATTTTAAGGTTAATGCTATGATGAATAATGTGACCAGAAGTTACGTTTGGAACAGTGAGAATTCTTCTGTTGCTGTTGGGTAATTGCCAATACTCAGATATAGTAATACCTAGATCAGAGATTTTTCCATTTGCAGGGATTAGTGTGAGAGAGTTCACTCTTCTCATTCTGTTATCTTGCCCCATTTCCCCTGCCTCTTCCAACCTGCCTCACCCGACACATCTCTTAATATCACTATAGTATCTAATGTAGATGTGTGTTAGGTTGGGAGAGGTTGTTTGGGTTGCACTTTCATCTTTATATTAGGCGTTATAGATGCACATAGTGATTTAAGAACATAGATTTTGGAGCTCTACAGAGCATTGAGGTTGAATTCTGCCCACTGATCATAAATTGAGTGATTTGGGGCAATATATTTAATCTTTCTGAGCCTTCTTGTAAAATATAATGAGTTCTAACCTCAAGTGAGGTTAACTGAGATTATAAATGTAAAGTACTTAGTGAAACACCAGAATATAGTAAATACGCTCTTCATTTTTTTCCTGAACATATTTATTCAGTAGTTTTAATATTTTCTTAATATAGTATTTTAAGAGCAAAGGTACTAAAGCCAGACTGCCTGGATTTAAATCACATTTACCACGTAGAAGCTATGTGACCTTGGACATATTTTTGAACTTCTGTCTTTCTTTCTTTCCTTTTTTATAAATTGGTTAAACTAACAATACCAACTCCATTAGTTTGTACTGAGGATTAAAAAGCATAACGCATATAAAAAATATATACAAAGATAAGCTGGGTGTAGTGGCTCACACCTGTAATCCCGGCACTTTGGGAGGCCAAGGTGGGTGGATCACGACATCAGGAGTTCAAGACCAGCCTGGCCCACATAGTGAAACCTCGTCTCTACTAAAAATATAAAAAGTAGTCAGGCAAGGTGGTGTACCTGTAATCCCAGCTACTCAGGAGGCTGAGGCAGGAGAATTGTTTGAATCTGGGAGGGAGAGGGTACAGTGAGCTGAGATCACACCACTGCACTCCAGCCTGGGTGACAGAGCGAAACTCTGTCTCAAAAAAAAAAAAAAGAAGCAGTACCATTTTGTAAGTCAAATACTGTAAACAATAATCTCTCAATACTTTATTTCAAAATTATTGTTAAAAACAAAAGGATTATATTAGCTTTTTAATGTTTATTGTTGTATAAATCAAGTAAATTTGCATAGTCTGAACCAGGGAATTGTTTAAAATGAGTAGCTGATTTACTCTATCAGTCATAAATGAAGGAGAAGTCTAGATATTATCTGCTTAGTTGATCCAGTTAAGTAAGCATATTGGTTTATTTAAGACAAAAAAATTAAATTTAGTTATTTAGTTTGCCCCTCTGAGAAATATCACAATGACCAGATAATTGCCAAATCTCCTTTTTTTCCTGAATTGAGTGTTGACTGTTTTTCCCTGACATTTTTGTTTTTCTCTTTTTTCATTTATTTCTTTTGATATTATTTTGAAATCTATTTCTCTTTCTGTTTCTCACTGATTAAAAAATAAAGAACACCTTAATACTAGCAATAAGTAAAAGCTACTCTTAAAAGTTGAGTAGTTCAATTTTTACTTTTATTTATTTATTTATTTATTTTGAGACAGTGTCTCACTCCGTCACCCATGCTGGAGTGCAGTGGTGCAATCTCAGCTCACTGCAACCTCTGCCTCCCAGGTTAAAGTGATCCTCCTACTTCAACCTCCTGAGTAGCTGGGATTAAAGGCATACCCACCACACTCAGCTAATTTTTGTATTTTTAGTAGAAACAGAGTTTCACCGTGTTGGCCAGGCTGTTGTTGAACTCCTGGCCTCAAGAGATCCACCTGTGACTGCCTCCCAGAATGCTGGGATTACAGGCATAAGCCACCACTCCTCGTCCTAGTTCAGTTTTTAAATGGAACATCAAGGGATTTTTTTTTAATGCTTGATATTATTCTCAATAATTTCATATGGCAGTATTTCCCATACTGTTCCCAAATTGATACACTTTAGAAAATAAATGATTTTGTTTTCGAGACAAAAACTTTGGTGCTGACGGTGTAAAAGTAATGCAGGTAACATCACTGTTGTTGTTGGTATTATTCTATTAATAACACAAAGCTCATTATATAAACTTTACCTTGTTATAGTAGTGAAGCTTTCTTTCACTTTATAGCTGGCTTAAGTCCTGCTGAGATTCAGCAGTTATGGAAAGAAGTGACTGGAGTTCACAGTATGGAAGACAATGGCATTAAACATGGAGGGCTAGACCTCACTACTAACAATTCCTCCTCGACTACCTCCTCCACCACTTCCAAAGCATCACCACCAATAACTCATCATTCCATAGTGAATGGACAGTCTTCAGTTTTAAATGCAAGACGAGACAGGTAAATCTCATGAGCTTTATTCTATATTTATCATCAGATTTTATTTTCACCATTGAGAAAAGAAAAAACAATTTGTACTTGAAATAAGGACAAAATGTGTAGAACAACAAATTGGAAATCTTGAGATTATTTATCTTATTATATTCTTTTTATTATCAAAAAGCAGTTCAAATACCAAAAGTTGGATGGATATAGTTGGGGAGTTTGCCTGAAGAAATTTACTTTTCCATAAGTGCATGTAGAATGATTGCATCAATATATTTTTATGACTAAGATATTATGATTAACCTGATTGTTGAGAATATTTTTCAAGCTAAAAATCAGTTCTTTAATTTCAAATAATTAAAGATGCATGTATATACCTCTTATATGTTTCAAACATATGAGTTGGAAATCAGAGAACAGATATATGCATAAATGCAGGCATAATAAACTAGGATGGAAAATCTGGTTTGCCTTTTTCATTGTGGCATGATGAAATTTGTAAGTACATTAAAATAAACATGTTGGTAATTTTATGATTAAATTCAACTAAAAATTCAAAGAAATATTATTTGATTTAAGTTATTAATATTAAATGTGTTATGTTAGGTAATTTTTAACTTACTGTTTTATTTTAGTTGTATAAAAATTGTCTTTGTGAAAGGAGCATTCATGTACATTTGTCCTTTAGTTCCATTTATTTAGGCATATTGCTTTCTAATCAGGTCCTTTAAAGTAAATTGCATATAGTTCATAAGCTAAAATATTGCTAAGTGTGAAAAAAATCTGTTTTGAAAAGATGAAATGTAAGTGTAGGATTCTTAACATAATGGTTTAGGCTTATGAATATAGCTCCAAACTTCATATGTAAGTGTAGTGGATTGATAGTATTATGTTATGTAATATGATGAATATGTTCCTTGCCATAAAAAATTCTTTGTCATAAACAAAAATATTTTTCAAATAAACATATATTTAATTATAGTACGGTTTAAAATAAAATGCTATAATTCTGTGATGTTTCTGGCCTTCATTTGTGTATCATGGAAAATTTTTCTGGTTAGATTTTATTAGTATAAAGTGGTATGCCCCTGAATGCTTTCATGCTGTTGTTTTAATTGTGATTAATTTGATGATTATATATCCCAAAAGTTGGTTGATTTCTCTGGGATCTCTCCATCTAACATTCACTTATCAAAAGTCTTCAATAATTATATAAAGATATAGCTAATGAATACTGTTCCAACGTAGAATTTCTAAATCAAGTGTAACTAGTAGAAATATATGTGGCTTATACATAAATATTAAACAATTTAAATGATCCTAGAGGTCCATATCTTCTTTAAAAAGAGCATTTCAAAAATCTTATGATGACTGTCCTATTTTTTTTAAAAAACAAAGTTTTTTTCACTTGACCACATATGAATATATATTTTTTATTTAGAGGTAAAATGTTACATTAAGGTCATATGGCAGGATTAGCATATGATATTATACAGTCCTCTTAGTTTTTCATCCTTTATTAACAGTCATCTTTGTCTCTATTTCTCCTCTAATTGGAACATCATCTAGCCTTGGCAGTTGAACTATTCAATAGAACGATTAAATTTTTCTGACTGCTCTGAGCTGAATTGACCTGTTTTGACCTGTTTGTCACTGATCGTAACCTGACAGGCGCTAGCAGCCTGCAACAATTATAGCTTTTTGAGATGAATCTGACGTCGTGTTCTTTTGCTACAGCTCGTCACATGAGGAGACTGGGGCCTCTCACACTCTCTATGGCCATGGAGTTTGCAAATGGCCAGGCTGTGAAAGCATTTGTGAAGATTTTGGACAGTTTTTAAAGTAGGTTTTTCACTTTTTTTTTTGGCTGGGGGCTGAATTGTACGAGAGTTTTAGGCACATTGTAAATAAACAAAAGATGAAGGAGAAAAGTAAAAGTCCGTAATAAGACCATACTTGAAGATTTCTGTGGGCTCTAACAAGTGGATTAGCAAGGTCAGGCCTCATCTTTTCTTGAAGATATTTTACAAATCACTTAGTAAAGATTTTTGAATGAATGAAAAATATTAGCCTACAATAATATGTCATTAATCATTGGAGACATAACAATTATTTATAACATAGAATTATTTTAAGTTTTAAGTTTCTAATAATATGTGAGTCATCATAATACGTATTTCAGTAAACATTTTGAAGGTTTTTTTTTTTAATTACAAGATTTATGTATTTTTAAAAACAGTGATATGTAGTATATATGTTTAACTACAAGAATTAGAAATGAAAGTTTTTGCTGGCTAAAATTTAAAGAAATACCTACATTTCATTTTCATTATTACTTTTTGCCCTTAGAAATATGAAGAAAAACACATGGCTATATGTTTGTATAACAGATTACCTGGCTTCTCTAGCTTAAAACCAAAACTTTATATATTCTTAATTTTAAATACAATATTTTGTTTATAAAATTCTTAAGGGGTTATTTTTTAAGTGAAAACATTCATCTTTCCTGAAATGTTTTCCATACACAATTCTGGTATATAAGAGATCTAAACAGAGAACTACAGATAGGCTTATGGAGATGAGTAACTTCACAGGCTGAGACTCTTATGTTGTCATGGTGCAGCTAACAGGGTGAGTGAACTGTTTCATGCTTCATCAACAATTAAGTTAATTAGCTCATTTGAAATTGCACTGCTTTGTTGCCAGGATGTTGGTAGAAACATCAAAAAGATGTGTTTACAAATGGAAGACTGACTACAGGGTATAGAGCAAAAGCACCTTAACAACCAGGCACAAGTACTTGGCATACAATAACTTTATAAATGAATTACAGTAAGACTTCCACAAAGATTTTTTTAACCTTTTATCATTTCTAACTAATTAAGAGAAACTTTGATTCATATACCGCTATGGCGCTTTATAAATGGCCTTAAATGAAAATTTGCACTTCTCTTGTATCAAAACAGTTGTGAGCTACCATTTCTTGGGGTATGAAACTGATTATACGCAAAGAGACCATTAAAAAATGTCAGGTAGATTTGCTGAAGTTTTCTTCTCTTAAAAAAAAAAAAAAGTTAAAGCAAAGAAAGAACATATTAATGTTATCTTAACAAATGATTTCCCATTTCTTAATGTTAATACATTAGTCCTTATCAATATATTATTCCTTACCACTGAGATTATATAGAGGGCTATTGTTAAACTGTTTTTTTTTAGAGTGGTAAATTATGCCATAGGACTAACCTAACCACTATGCATTTTATTGCTCCAAATTGCTCTTTCTGGCAAAATTCAAAATAAATCTTTTGGAAAAAAATACATATTTTCCTTTAGTATGATTTTGTTTATAGCAAATTGAAAGGAGCATTTTAACTTATTTCAAATATTTATGTTTTTATTGCTAACAAGTAGATAAATATGAACCCTCATTTTACCATGCATAGTCTTCTTTCATATTCATGCCAGTGTTTAAAAAAAAAAAGGAAAAAAAAAAGAAATTACAATTAGAAAAGCATTTCCTTTCAATTAAATATCAACTTTGGTTCCAAAGACTGACCATTTTTCCAACCCATTAACTTTATAGGGATGACAGAACTAATGACAGGAGGTTTTAAGGCCTTTTTTTAGTCCATTTTTGTTTTGATATGCTTTAGATTCACGAATTCAAAGATCTGTGATATATTCTGTTAATAGAGCTAATATAAGTATACAGAACTGAAGTGAACTATCAATTAGATTTACTTTCCATAGGGGCATTATTGTCTTTAAACTGTGTTAGAAATTTGAAAAGAAACAAAATATCTCATTAAATGAATTAACTTCAGTTATTCAAAAAAGTTTATTTGGCATCTGTGCGAGGAGTGAAAATGAAGAAGGAAAGCATCACCACTTACACAGATTTTTCTCAGAGGACTTTGCTTTTCCTTTACTTTTCTCAGAGGAGAAAATTGAGGGTTTGGGGAGGAAAATGATAGATAAATTAAAAAGCTGTGAAAAGTTTTTAGTTCTCACTTTGTTGTGTATCCATTCTCCCTAAATTTTATATCCAGTGTTCATTATGAAAGTTTTTTAGAAAAATATTATTGTGGCATTTTTACTTCTAAAATGCACTAAAAATACATTTTACAGCTTCAGGTTTAATTTGGTATCAGATAATTTATACCTTGGTTTGAAATAAAAGGAAACAATTCATTTTTACTATTTAGCTGATATATATTAAATTACAAAGAATGGTAAAAAATATATTAAGTCTCAAATTCTTTTTTCACATTACATCCCAAAACAAACTAGTGAAATCCTTCTATTTTTACCTCACACCAAATGAAAAGCCATTATAGGACAGTTGCATATGTATAACACATATATATTTACCTATATATTATATATATTTATGTATTTTATATATTTATGTATTGTATATATATTTGTATTCTTACAAATTCTTTAATTCTTTTATATTCTTTGAGGCACTCTTTTCAATGAGATAAAAAAAGAAAAAAAAAGAAGAAGAAGGAAATCCAAGATAAAAAAGTGTTTGGGAAAATTTTTGAGTTTTACTGTAAAGTAGGTGTTGACAGAAGCTAACCATTTTTCCTGACCACTAATTGAGGATCTCACTAGATCACTAAAAGCATTTAATACTAGTTCTTCATTACTGTCTTATAAATGTCAAAGTGTAATAACATCTGACAAAACTTTAGAGTAGTTTGTCTGCAAAATTAATTATCATTCCATTGGAACTAAGTCAGCTTGAATATAGATGGATTGACTTTTAGAGCTTAAGCCAAAAGGTTTACAGTATAACATTCCATTTAGCAGACAAGTGTTCTTGAACCTGCATGCACAGATGCCAGCACACAAAACATGGTCTGAGATACAAAGGTGGAAATACTCTCCTTTAAGAAAGGCAGAATGGCTAGTGTCTATGCAGATATTAATGTGTTAAAAATTAATTAGTCGATGGGTGTAAATGAGTTAAACTTGTTACAGACCAAATTTTTAAGGCTTGATACTATATGAAGAGCAATAGAAAACATAGTGGAAACAGAGTAGTTGATTTAATAGAAAATTGTCTGTTTTATTGCAGCTGACTACTTTAAAAATTATGCTGTTACTTAATGTGTATTGTCTATTTCTTTGTCTTTGACTAGGCAGCATGGTTACAAAATTATGACCTCAAGAAGGCATTCTTTGAACTTGTCAGAATGTTGTTTCTTTTGGTGACAGTGCCCCCATCTCTCAAAACTAAGGCATCTCACATAATCAACTAAATGAATAGTGACAGCTAACATTTTGTATTTAAACTCCTGTCAGTGTTTAAACATAAAAAGCTTGATGCAAAATAAATCAAACACCAGTGATATGCAAGTGAAACATTTTGTTAAAACAGTCTTTGACATACTTGGATTTAAATCTGATCCCTTTTTAGCTTATAAAATGCTACAACTTTAAATGAATTTGAAAAATCTAAAGGTTAAAATTGAATCACTAATCTGAAGTGTATATAATTGAAGTTACCACATACATTCATAATCTATAAAAGCTTCGTTAAAGAGAATTATGCATTAAATACATTGGAAGGATCCTTTCCTACTTTTTGTCTTCCTGAAGTGCCTGCTTAATTGTTTTTAGAAATAATTTGACTGCTTATTTATGTTTTTTCTAGTTTACGCTATCTACCTAGCACACAGATTCAATGCAGTTTTGAAAGAACGTCAGTCGACCACATCATTTATTCCATTTTGAAAACAAAAATCAATATACCTATAAAGTGACCCATAAATTAGAACTGGCTCACACAATGTTTGTTCAGTGCTGCCTTTCTGAAGGCACCCTTTGCATTTTTTCTTCACCTCTCTGTTTGAACTGCAGTCTCGGTAAGAGGCTCATTAGGGGACATTAGGGACTGCAGCTAACCAGAATTCCAGAGCTTGCTTTGCTCTTATTAATGCATAGTAGAGTAGAATGCATTTAAATATTTCATAGGCATTCAGTAATTTGTGTGTAATCGCCTTGTTAGCAGACCAGTAGAAGTAGAACAGGCCTGTGAAATGGTGTTAGTGATTGCATGGGTAATTTACAGACCTTTGCCATCAGAAAGAGTATTATTGTTGGCTAGTATGAAGCTGTGAAATAGAACTACCAATAAGTAAAAAAAGAAACTTAATAAAGGTTTTGTAACAAGCATCTTCAGGGATAACAACCCCACTTGGTCCTTTTGAAGCAGCCATAATTTATGACATAGGCAATATATCAAATGCATAAGATAGTATTATGGAGCATTCATATGAAAAGGGTATTTGCAACATTAGTTCCAACTTCCTGCAAGGGACATGATTAAATGATTAATGAAATGTCCCTTTGCATATGCATTTTGAAACAGCAATTAGGCACTGACTGAGAAAATCCACCAATCCTCTCATTTTTCAGTATTATCTCATTCTTGATTTATAAATCATAGAGAATTTTTGAACAGTAATGAGTAGTACCTGAGATAGTTATAAAAACATAAAAGAGAATAATTTGGGCACAAAATAGTCATAAATACATAAATTCATAATTTAATGTTAATACTTAGCCTATTTACTTAGTCTTATTGCATTGTATTTATATCTGACACTATTTCTGTACTTTGATTGGCATAATTAAGTAGAGGGAATGAATAGGCACTATTCTTTTACATATCACTGGTAAACAATAGCGAGGAAAGGAGAAGGGAGATGTGGCAGAGGTATGTATGTGTTTTTCAAGTTCTCAGTAATCCACTGGAGGCTGTTCTATAAATGATCATTGAAGGGCTGCAAGCTAGCCTATAATTACAGGAAAGAAAGTGGCAGCTCTGGCATTTCATAACTATGTGTCCTCGAAAAGTGCTTTGTGAGTTTGTCACCAATGATAATTTAGATAGAGGCTCATTACTGAACATCACAACACTTTAAAAACCTTTCGCCTTCATACAGGAGAATAAAGGACTATTTTAATGGCAAGGTTCTTTTGTGTTCCACTGAAAAATTCAATCAAGACAAAACCTCATTGACTATTATTGTAGTCTACAGTCTCTATTCTAATAAAAGCTGCATAGATAAATTGAATAGGTCTCTAAGACCCAAGTATATAATGCAAACATTTTGTACTTTTTTTAGTTCTTTAAATATAAGATCATGATTATCACTAAGCAGTAAACAAGTATAAAAAATCATTTTAAAAAGTGATTTCACACGAAAAAAAAGTTACACTGACTACGCCTTTTATTGCAGACCCGCATAGTCTACTTATCTTGCTTCCTCCGTTTACACCCTAATCACAGTGTGTAACTGAAGCATTTTTGAAAATATGCCTCATTTTTTCTGATATGAAATAAATATATTTGTGCTTCCCAAGAGTTCATGGTGAAAAAAAATCTTACAGAAACACAGCAATATGAAGCATTAAGAATACAACACACAACTGTATTATGCTGGTAGAAAATTATCTTACTGTTCATTTAAATTTGGGGGAAAAACCCTGAAAAACAATTTTTAAATGTCTTGTCATTTAGGAATTGGTGACACTTTCTGTTAACTAACCTCTGGTTTACTCTCACATTCCATACCTCCTTTCCAGAGAGGGTGAGTGAATGTCAGTCCTCTCCACAGTTAGGTTCACAGCAGAACAAACCTGAGCTGAGCTTAGAAAGCAGACAGGTATAGTGGAGGTGCCTCCCTGCACCCCAGCCACATTCCTTCAGCTTAACACTATCCACCTCGCTATTTTAGTCCACAGTTTTTCTTGAATCAAGACTTACAATGTGATAAGATATATACATGGAGGCTTCATTGTTAGGATCAATAAGGCAGTATTAAAACAAACTGGTTTAATTTATCAAGGTATAGGCAAAACAAAGGTTTCTGATGGTTGAACGTAGATATATAAACAAATAAACCTTCTTGTTTATAAGAAAATTAGTTTTTCTTAGCAACATGACTTTAATTACTCTTCATATGTTTTACATATATGTGTCTAAATTTTTTCTGCTTCATTATGAATTTAAAGAAATATAAGTAAATAATTTGAATGGACACAAAAATATTTTCGTTGAATTCAGTATACCCGGGGCTATTACAACCTTTTTAGACTATTATATCATTCTAAATGGTACTTGAGCCCACATGGGTAAATATACAAATTCTTATTTAATTTTGTGAGTTTTTTTTTTTTCAATATGCCATTTCACTTACATGCATTGATGAGAACATCTCTGAAATTGCTCCCTTAGTTTGCCCACTGGTGAAATAGATACACCAAAGGATGTTGAATTACTTGAAGATTACTTCTTTTAATTTTGGGAGGCATCAAAGACATTATATATTACAAATTACAGAGTATATATTACTAAATGTTTTTATGTTCATTGGAGATACTGCTTTACTAAATTACTAATGGTGTATTAACATACCACTCATTAAAGAGATCTCTTTAAACATTATATAGAAATAATAATGGTAGACTAATGCATATTCAAGATTAGAGTAAGATCATTGGAGTTATTTATTTTTCACCATTTTAAAAATAAGATTAGGATAAATGTCTCCTCGTTGGGACACTAGACATGAAATGTTAGTCCTATTATTCTGATGATCAGAATCTTCAATGAAGTTTCTTCATTACTATCAGCAAATCATCGTTCTTCTTAAATATTGATGTTTCCACGGGATGATAATTTGCCATCTTTACCTAATTCATACCGCATCCCAATGAAATAAGACATTGCTCACTAAAATACATTATAGAAACAACAAACTGTTTTAACAGAAATGGAATAGAAAATTGCCTTTGTTCTCTTCAAAATTGCTTTTGGTTCATATATTTGTAAGCTGTTCTTTTTTTAAAAAAAATGGCATAAGTAATATGACTTCTACTGTAACTCTGTAAATGGTCTAGGGAAGTACTTTTTATAATAACAGATAAGCTTTGAGACTGACATTTTCTGCCATTTGAAGAGTCTCTTTACATTACATAAATAATTTTCACACAACACGTAAGCAGCTGTAACTTTTTTCTGTATGGTTTCAAGGCTTTCTGTTTTCCCAGCGCACAGGAACATATGACTTCAGTGTAGTGCTTTTTAAATGTAGCATATGCCACTGATATTGACATCACTTTACATTCTGTTTTGTGTCTTCTGTTGGTTTAGGCACCTTAACAATGAACATGCATTGGATGACCGAAGCACTGCTCAGTGTCGAGTGCAAATGCAGGTGGTGCAACAATTAGAAATACAGGTTTGTTAAATGCTTACTTAATGGACTCTTCTCAGATGTCTGGTGTGTTACGCTGAGTACTGAGAATATTCTGGGTCTTTCAGGCTGCATCTTATTGTCTTAGTTATATAATAACTAATGGAGATACATGGAATTTTAGATTGTTTTAACAGTGGCAATTATTGATAACCCAGGAAGGACTGCTATAGTTTAATATACTTATCACTTATATTTTGATAACTTTTAGACCATATCATATGCATTTGAATATCCCAAAGTAGTCAGATCTAAATTTTCTCCAATGTAGGTTAGACAAAACTCCCAATTAGATATGATTTTATTACAGACACGGGTTTTGCATGAGCTAACCTTGATTTTTTCCGTAAGATTTTATATTATAGCAAATAGCCAGTCTTTACAATATCATACTTGTAATATAACACCCTGAAAGATTCTTCTTTTTTCTAGTCTATTTTTAATTAAAGAACTTGTAAAAATTATTTATACATTTCTTTAGCTAGATTAAAGGCAAATAATTTATATCACAGATGGTAATATACATGCTGTATCAAATGCTGCTGTTTTAAGTTAAAAAAATTCTATTAATGTTGAAACAAAATTTGGCCAGAAGTAAATGGAATTCATAGAACTGATCAGAAATCAATTATGTCACCCAAAGTCTGACTCTTGCTATGTTTTACTAAGCCTTTAAGGCTTCCCCTAACATTTCATCTTAAAGATTATCTTTTTTCAATAAAACTAATACTTTGTTTCATTTAAATATATGATTTTTCTTCATATTTTATTACATCTTATTTCAAATTCATCATGTCATTGCTTTTTTTTCAGAGAGCTACTAAAAATATTTTGTTTTGACTTGTAAAATAATCAAGAATACAAAATGCACCATCACTGTTATAGTTTAAAAAGCTTTTTATAAACCTGTTTACCATTTACAAAAGGTAGGCTAAAACATAAGAGTTCAGCTGATGATACAGTCTTCAGTGTGACCAATTATGCCTCTTTTTTTTTCCTTCTGCTGTGTCTGACTGATGGAAAAGTAAGGTCCGTCAGTTGTAATGAGACCCAGTGCAAGTGTAGATGCCGACTCCGTGGCAGAGTTCAGCATTTCACACTGCCTGGTCTCTGTCACTCTATTGAATTAGATTGATGATGGCAGATTGCAGGGGGCACTAACTGGACCTCAGTGGGAATGCATGAAGTGTGTAGACAATCCTGGCAGGCACTTCGCTTTGAGAACCCTTCACCCCTTCACAGCTGTTGGCACTAGTCCATTGCTAACAGTGTCCACAGGACTTTAAAGAGACACCATGGGCCTTCTAATTTATGGTTTCAGTAACTTGTTACTGTCGAGGCAACTGTGACCTCAATTCTCTTATTGACAAAAAGATGAAGTGTTATTTGTTTTCTCTGACCTTTTAACATAAGAAAAGCTATAAAAGTTTTTCCCCCTCCATAGCTAAAGTTGCATTTTCTCCCAGATAAGTTCCTCCTGACACAGACTTTTATATGCAGGAATCATTATTCTGAGGCAAGCTCAATGATAAGATGTATCACTGCAATAAAATAGCTGTATCAGTCATTTCTAAAATGCTTCTGATCTCACTCTTTCTTAACAGCTTTCTAAAGAACGCGAACGTCTTCAAGCAATGATGACCCACTTGCACATGCGACCCTCAGAGCCCAAACCATCTCCCAAACCTGTAAGTGCATATTGCTTTATAAACAGTAAATAGCTCTCCCAATGTAACAGACTAAGAAAATGAACAATTTAGTGACAGTTAGAAAACAATGAGTGTGATGAAAAATACTGCAATAAAATGAAAGTAAAATGTAATCGCTTGTCAAATTGTATGTTTCTTTTAAAGTAATGCTATCTTTTACAAAATCTATCCAATCTACACCGTGGGTGACACTAAACAAAGTACACCTATCAGTGCACAAATCATTGCCTTGGGGCTGAAGCCAAGAGAATTTCTTTCTGTGATAGGTTTACAGATATTAAAAGGAAACCTTCTTTGAGCAATCTGAAAAGCAGTAACAGTACAAATCATACAAATCACAAATAGAAATGTATGTGGTGTGCTGATGAAGACAGATCAATCATAAGATACATGTAAATAGATTTTTATCAAATATTTTGTCATAAATGTCATAGTATCTTTTGTAGCCAATTTTGTCCTATTTCTTTGGTTATTTCAGTTAAGATGTATTTCATATATTGATATGTTTTATTGTATATTATACATAATATTAATTTAGAGAGCTTATCACAAAAAAATGGGTGATTATAGAAAATTAAGACTAGTTTCCCTCAAAAATATATGAGATTTAAGCTCAACCTGATAATGTAGTCAGATACACAGACTGTTGGAAAGAATATACTTTACCTCACTCAGATGATGTTTGCACAGAAACTTAATCAACTGGGTAACTCTAGTTTAATGAAAGTTTGTGGGATACTTTTTAATAAGGCTCATGTATAGCCTGATGATTAATGATTGCCAGCCTTGCCTCTCCCCCTGTTTCTTTAGGAAAAAATAGAACATTTGGCTTTGTAGTTGGGAGGAGACAGAAGACAACTATATTGTATAATTTTCTTCTAATGTCTCTATATCTCTTATCAATTAATATATTCAAAATTTAATTTTTTAGAGATTATATTTAAACTATGCTAAGCTATTTCTGCCATATTAGAGCTTTTCCTTTGTACTATATTTAAAGGTAGAGTACTATAAACATGTTTTTATAAGAAGAAAGAATGCATGTATCTTTTTGAATCTGACATACTACTTTTTAAACTCTAAAATGTCTGAGTTTTTAATTAAAAAAATAAAATTTTGAGAATCTTTTTGATCCTGTATTTATGACTTCCTTTTCAATAAGATTTTTTTCCCTCATTGCTTCTATAGTATAATGTAGATAATCACAAGACAGAATAATTGTCTCATAAATCCATCAGGAATCTGCAGCTTGTTCTTTTCCAATTAATTATTCAATCAGTAAATTTTTTAAAACTCCAGCAGCATGGTTACATCTAC